GGAGCTGTTGTTTGTACTCTCGATGTCCCTTTAACTAACAGGACATCCGTTGAAAGAAAGAGGATGCAATTTGAAACAATGCATGGGCATACGTACGATCGAACGAACAGTTTGGCATCGATTTATTTTCAAGCGGTTGCACGCTCGCAAGTGACTTTCGCTTTTTCACGAAATTCAATATCCGGAGGTCGGTTTTATCTTAATTTTATCACGTCCATATGCTCTCTGACAGGAAATTACACACATGCGAATGTATCACATGATACGACGCGTAAAATAATCGTAAATGGGGAATCAACGGTAAATTATAAATATAATCTTCTTTTATCAAAAGAAATTTTGTCTTTATTATTGTAAATTTCAAATTACTCTGTCGTGTTGCTTTTAAATGTTATGACTAAATTTTATAATTTTTATCAATATTAATACACTTTTCATTATCACCTTTATCGTGACATTTAACTTGTATTTTTTATTTATACATCTCGTTATAATCGACATATTTTAAATTTCTGTCTCTATCACATACATCCACCCACCCACCCACACACACACACACACACACACACACACACACACACACACACACACACCCATCAAAGAAGGAATCAAGAGGCAACAACATTCAATTAATTAGAATCATCTAGCGAAAGTTTTATTATCTTTGATTGCTTTATATTTATTTACATACATTCAGATTCTGCTGTCTTCCGCCCTTAATTTACAGCATTCTTACCTTATTTGCGAGCAAAAGTAAGATATTTTATGTCACTGATAATGTAAAAAAGATACTTGTTCTATCCGCTTTGCTATGCGCTAAGATCTCTTACTTTTTCTTTTAAATTCCTTTCCCTTTTATTTTATTTTATTTTAAAATATGTTTTATTTTTTAATCATTTTGACATGTGTCGCTATGCATATAAATATAAAAAAATAATCTCGTGGTAAAAGGAGTAAATTCGCAATCCCTGTTCGTAATCCCTTTTTTTCAAGTTTTCGTAATACGAAACCTGGTTGCAGCGAGTGAATAAAAGGATTAATGGGTTATTATTTTTCCTGCGCTTGTGGATTAATATCACCTCCCATATTTCATGAGAGATATTAAAATTAAAATTATTCAATGTAATGAAAGATCTCTCTGATTCAATTATGTAGACGAATGGAAATTATGTAAACGAAATACGTCTTTTCAACATGAATAAATCTCAAAATGCTGCGTTGTGCTACTTGAAGTTATTTTTTCAGATCCGCGTATTAACTTTTGGTATTTTTTTCGAGTCAATGCATCTGATTTAATAAATGACATTGCACACAGACGTGATCAAACAGGACACTAGAGAAGAGTAAAACTGATTGAAAATATCATTTTATTCTTGTTAAATATTTAATTATTCCACGTATTTACTTATATTTGCATTATCATTATTTCATCGACTATTTATTTCTCTTGTATCTGGTTGCAAAGGACATTAAAATTTTAGATAATTTTTTTAGATAAATTAACAACACCCAAGTGAGCTATAACAACAATAAGTATCGCCAATAACAATCTTACTGTACTAAAAAAAAAGGATAAATTACACATGAAAGATTTTCTTTTTTTGAATAGACAGAAAATAAAGGAACCACGAGAATAATTGGTCCTGTTTAATATTAAGTAGAACTGTTTCAGGATTAAAAGATCGTTTAGAAATTAAAGTTTTCTATCGATTCAACTGACAAAAACTCTTGCATATTTCTTGAAGCTTAAGAGGATC